CCGCCGGGTGGCGCGGCGGCGCGCGGCGCGGGTTCCGCCGCGGCGACCACCCGTGAAGTCCTGCCGGGTGAACGGACTGAGAGGTCGCCCCGACCGCTCACTGGAAACTCCGGCGGGGCGGTCGCCACGGGTTTTGTTGGCTTGCAGCCTGGTGTGCAGACTTTGGGCTTAGATTCTCACCTTTGACCTCACCAGCAAGCATGGATGCCTTGAAACGAGGTGGTGTGAGCAGCTCTGAGAGGCAAAAGAACGATACGAATTGCCAGTCGTCCGGGCCACTTTTCGTATACAAAATTAGGTTTGAAAGACCCAAGACAGCACAACTGATATCAGCGACAGTCCAAAATCTCGCGACGAGTTTCCCGTCTGGCCATCAGAGTCAGACGCGGAACAGTGGCGTGGTATTCAAAGAGGGTGCTGACCCTAGACATATGGGGGCTATGAAAGACCTGAACACTGAACGAACACACAACCAAGTGAATGTGTGCACATTGTGGGAAACGATCGCTTGCTTCGTCGTGAGTTACCGAGTAGGCACTTCAGTCGGTACAGCACCAGCCACCACCTGCACCGGTTCGTCTGGCTGGTCGTCCACTTCTCGTCAATCGCAGGCCTGATTCACAACAGGGGGTGGAGTGGCAGGAAGCAGGCCGCGGTCACGTGTAACCCAGGCCCCGCTGCCAATTTGGGAGCTGAACATCAGCGGGGCACCTATGATTGCCAATCAGCTGTTCGGCAGGCTCAGACATCCTTGACGGCGCGCTGCTGAGCCGCGCCTTCATCCTTGATGATAAGCGCGGACGTGATGGGCTCGGCCATGTACAGGGCAGACAATGGGCAGGGCCGCGCCGGATCGGCTACTTATACGCGACCTCAACCCTTCATTGCAATCTATACACCCGGTGATGAATGCTAATTGATTCGGTAGGCGCCGCAATGCGGGCAGGGTGCTTTAAATACATGCCAGTGACAACTGAGGTAATTGTTCTCTTCTCTTTCCAAACATTTATATTGCAATGGCGCACGAAGATACATAAACATTTACTGGACTGATATCTCTTGATCTTACTGAGAGCTACATGTTATTCTCACCGCAATCTCGAACGAAGACTACCTCAGTGCATCGATCGCGTCACATAATTCATACAGGTAATGGGTCTGTAATGCTTTATGCCGCTCGTGCACTAAGCGATCACGATGCGCTTGTTCCCAATCAAGTCACACATTTCGGCACATTTCCTTTGTACTCGCATATCAGCAAAGATGCCGTCAGATAAAGTCCAATGAAATCAGGTATAATTTGTTCGTCACCGCAATGCCAGTCTCGTCATATAGTCAAATGAAGCATCAAAAGCAACCAACACCGAACTGATGACTCTTGTCGCACTCATTTTCTAATCGCGGATCATCTCATCATGCATTGATGGTTATACGAAAAGAGTCATTATCTGGTGCTCAGGCTCTCAAGACCATCAAACCATTGGCTTTTAAATTGTGCACACAATGTTCAGTCACTGATCAACTGATCACTAAAGCTGATCACATTGATAAAACTGAACACCATTATGATGCCTTTTGGTGACCTTCGACTTAAGATTGCGGCGTATCCTATGTCTCCTGCACATTCATACAGTCGGTCTTCTTTCTCTATCCTCTACATATTCGCACCTACCGTCTATAAACCTATGCCTAGTGTCAACAACATACTAGTCACGAATGTCCTGTCGGCCACGTCTCACAGACTCTGCTGCTTCTGAGTTGTACGGAAGTGACCGGTCGGTCACTTAGCCTCAAATTCACTGGCTGTCGTCTCCCGCAGACTCTGAGGCTGCTGAGCTGTCTGTCGGTGGCCGGGTGGGCACAGACCCACTGGCTGTCGTCTCCCGCAGACTCTGGCGCTGCTGAGCTGTCAGTCGGTGGCCGGGTGGGCACAGATCCACTGGCTGTCGTCCCCCGCAGACTCTGGCGCTGCTGAGCCGTCTGTCGGTGGCCGGGTGGGCACAGACCCACTGGCTGCCGTCTCCCGCAGACTCTGACGCTGTTGAACTGTCTGGCGGTGGCCGCGTGGGCACAGACTCACTGGCTGTCGTCTCCCGCAGACTCTGACGCTGCTGAGCTGTCTGGCGGTGGCCGGGTGGGCGCGGCCGCAGGCGCCCGTGGCGCGGCTCGGTGCGCCGCTCGCCTACAGCTACAGCTACTCGGCGCCGCAGCAGAGCCGGCAGGAGGAGCGTGACGTGCTGGGTAACGTGCACGGCTCGTACAGCGTGCGCTACTCGGGCGGTGGACAGCTCACGCACACCTACTCGTTCCCCAACCGGCTGCCGGTGTTCCGCACCACGCAAGAGGGCCCGCTCGGGCCCGTCGGCACGCTCGTCTCGTTGCGGGTACGTAACAAGCGCGCGCTGCTCCCCCACGCCGACTCACGTGGATCGGCCGGCGTCACGCTCACATCGGTCCCGAACCATCGACTCCTGAGGCAGTGGGAGTGACGTCCAGGGCCATTCCACCCGTTACTTGCACTGGAATGGCTTTCGGGACGAGTTGCGTGCCCAAGATTGTCTTTCGCGATGTGATCGACCGGCACCGCTGAGAAAAGCGTCACGGCGTGATTTCCCGATCACTGGTCTGGGTACTTTTCGCGCTTTTTCTGCGTGCTCTGTGGCTGCGTTTTACGCTGCTTACGCAGACCTTGCGTTATGGTAAAGCCGGAACGTGCCTGCCGGTGCACTTTGAGTGACTGACTTAGGTCAGTTCCTCGGAAGGCTGTAAATATGAACACACCAAACTGGGACTAGGCCGGTTAATGGAAATGGCCCGACAAATGCCAAACGACATACATAACACGACAAGCAGACAGAGATGCAAACAGACAAACAGACAGACAGACAGACGGACAGACAGACAGACAGACAGACAGACAGACAGACAGACAGACAGACAGACAGACAGACAGACATACATACATACATACAGACAGACAGACAGAGGGGCAGACAGACAGACAGACAGACAGACAGACAGACGGACAGACAGACGGACAGACAGACAGACAGACAGACAGACAGACAGACAGGCATGAGTGTGGGGACGGCGACTGACCACCACAAATGAGGCTGGGGGTGGCCACCGGAGAGGTGAATTCAGGCTCGGTCTGGGACGTCTGTGCTCACGACACGGCCCGCTCCACCGTTCCAGAACCCCAAGGACAGAGTGTTCCTGATCGAGATGCTGGCGCAGCAGCAGGACACGCGAGCGCCGTCGATCCTGACCAAGACGGATGCAGTGCTGACGAATGCGCTGCCCGTGTTCGTGAACAGCAAAGTGTCGGCGGCGCTGATCGATCTGCGCCTGGAGAGCGAGGCTGCCGGCGACGTGCGGCAGGAGCTTCAGCTTCGAGATCCCGGCGACGCCATCGTGGTGGAGGCGGCGCCGGAGCCGACGGCCGAGGACGGCAGCCGCACGCCCGTCTTCGTCAACAGCAAGGAGTCGTCGGCGCTGCGCGTGTTCCGGGTGCAGAGTCTGCGCGACGGTCTGACGGGTCGCGCGCCGCCGCTGGTCGGTCCAGAGGAGATCATCGTGGAGGCGGCCAGCAGTTCATAGGCACCGCCAGGTGCGAGGGAGGGGAGGCATTCGCTCCATGGGCGGCGCCAGCGTGTGTTTGACGGGAGGGAAAATCAGAGTCTTATAGACGGAGTTATGTTCGTGTGTGCGCAAGATGTGGGGCGGGTGGAGTGCAGAGCATCAGAGTCGGTCTTGGCACCGGCAGCAGCCTTTTAGGCTGAGGACGTTTGTGGGTACGACGACCAGCCGCGCAGAGGCGATGCTAAGGCATGAGTGCGGGGGCGGTGACTGACCACCACACATGAGGCTGGAGGAGGCTACCGGAGAGGAGAATTCATGCTCGGTGTAAGATGCAGGGGCAGCGTTTACAGATACGATGTCATGGCCGGCCCCGTTCAATGCATGCATGTGGTCTCCCCCATAAAGAGACGACTTCTCTTGGTACCGACACCGTCGGTTACCGGTAACGTCATCACCGGCTGGAGTGGTGGAAGACCGATTAGAAACGCGTGCCCCGAGGTTAGACCATACCAGTGACGTCACAGAAAGCAGCGCCAGTCCCGGGCATTTGCCACTGCTGTTCATCCGTTCTGTAAGACAAACGTGTGACGTTCAATTACTTTGCCTGCTTTTGCTGTGGATGACCGGTCCCCCCAAAAAGCAGCTAAACCACATATTAGGGGCAATTACTAGTATTTGCGCAATATCAAGAATAGTATAAGGTCTGGCACTATTCAGTGTGGTAACAAAACGTTGCCAGTACTCGGTCAGGTCGCAGGAACATTTTTTCGGAACTAGAAGCCCCCACCGTCCTAAAATTGTGAAAAAGTTGGTGCCGTGGCGACCTAACGTTGAAAAAATGTACGGATCCCATCGCACTGAGTCACATTGATCTGGGTAGGAGCCAGTATTTCCACGAGACTTTGCGCGGCGTTTGCGTAGTGGGTGAGCTATACTTACCATCGTTTTCACCGGTATAATGTCACGCACTCCACTGATCGCGCAGCTTGCAGCATTGCAAGGATTGATCGCCTGATCAATGCTCACACACGCCTCGCCCTCAACCATATTTTACAGTCTCACCTTACCACTACACACATCAGGCATTTCCAAGGAAAGTCTTCACCTAATTTCTTCCTTTACGCGGGGCAGCGACATCTTCATTTGAACTACGTCCGAAAATACTGACGGCAGCTTCCTCCGTCCCGTAGTCAGTTAGCTGTGTTAAGGATAGCTTCTTCCGATGGCACTACGCCTTAGCTTATTAGTTGAGTTACCACTTGATTAAGACATTTGTATCGTAGAACGTAGTGAGGTGGTAGAATACAGGCGAATCCTGCTCGGCTATCACATGCCTGAAAAATGAATTTTGATGGCCAAAACAAAGATAGGACAGGTCGACTATGAATACCATTGAGGGGAAATTTCGGTACAAAGGCGGTCGAAACGTATTTCAAATTGCAAAAATGGCTTTATGCATACTCTAGTATGTATCCTATGCATACCATTGTGGGATAATTTTGGTGACAAAGGCAGTCAAAACTTATTTCGAAATGTAAACTGGCTTTCAAATGTGCACCTTATGTTACCATTTCCACCACCCCCTGCATGTGCATTCTCAAGGTTACCACAATATCCCATGTGAGGGGCAGAGTGATGGGTTTGTGATGCACGATTCATGAGGATCTAGATTTTTACGTGCTGAGTTGGCGTGCAGGTTTCATGCGATGACACAAATGGCACGGCCACAACTAAAAAAACAACAAAAAAACTGGAGCCACGGTCTGCGGAAACACGTATGTCCCAAACATGCTGGGGCAGCAAGCTATGGAAATCAACGTTCAGGCGTGGAAAATCACGATCGAAACCCGGTACTCCTGATAATGTTCGGCAAACTGGGACCATTTTGGGATCCATAAGCGACATTTGCATCGTATACTCATTTACTATATTTCAGCGCAAAAAATGACAAAGTCAAACGCCGTTAAATGCAAAAACACACCACAATTAAGAGCGGAGCGCACCATCAAATTGCTCTCTCACATTCCATGACGATCTATGAACGCCAGGACAGTTTATGGAAATCGGTGTCTTAGTTCGTGTCGTAAGATTGCCTTTTCCTGTGGGAAACTTCCATGATCAGGCTAGGTCATGCTCATGACTGCGTTAAATGTACCTGTGCGTGACTCGACAATTAATGTGGTGTCCATTCCTTAAATATACGCCGCTCTAAAGTGCACCTTTGGAATCTGAGCGCCGACAGGCGGACCCTTCTCTGCGCGGCTATGCGACGGATGCCTGGCCGCCGGCGGCGGGGACGAGGCCTGGCGCACGCCACCGCCGCCGCGCCCACCGCCGACGGTGCGGGGCGCAGGGGCAGCGTATGAACCAACGGGCTGAAAGCTTAGGCAACGGCCAGGCGAGCCCACAGCGGGCGCGGCACCGCTCTGGGGCAGCGTGTGGACGTCAGGCACAGTCGGCCGTAGAGCCCACGTCCAGGTGCAAATAGTACAAGGAAATAGTAAGGCGGACACTGCGAACGCTGAGCTGTGCCTTGACCGCACGAGAGCCCGAGAGCAACGCCAGCTACGTGGTAACACGGGTGGTCTGTACGGTCCCATGCCGTCCAGCCGGCGCGCCCGACCGCTGGCGATGTCATCTGGATGCTGCTCCAAGTGTTTCACGAGGGCGGCTGCCTGGCCGAAGCCCAGGTCATACACAGAAGGTCCGGATGGGTCACCTGACATCTGCTTGAACCAGTGTCATACACAGGAAGAGTGGTGCCGGATGGGTCACCTGACCATCTGCTTTTGACACAGACCAGTGTCACACACAGGGAGAGTGGTGTCGGATGGGTCACCTGACCATCTGCTCTTGACACAGACCAGTGTCATACGCAGGGAGAGTGGTGTAGGATGGGTCACCTGACCATCTGCTCTTGACACAGACCAGTGTCATACGCAGGGAGAGTGGTGTAGGATGGGTCACCTGACCATCTGCTCTTGACACAGACCAGTGTCATACGCAAGGAGAGTGGTGTCGGATGGGTCACCTGACCATCTGCTCTTGACACAGGCCAGTGTCATACGCAGGGAGAGTGGTGTAGGATGGGTCACCTGACCATCTGCTCTTGACACAGGCCAGTGTCATACGCAGGGAGAGTGGTGTAGGATGGGTCACCTGACCATCTGCTCTTGACACAGACCAGTGTCACACACAGGGAGAGTGGTGTCGGATGGGTCACCTGACCATCTGCTCTTGACACAGACCAGTGTCATACGCAGGGAGAGTGGCGTAGGATGGGTCACCTGACCATCTGCTCTTGACACAGACCAGTGTCATACGCAGGGAGAGTGGTGTAGGATGGGTCACCTGACCATCTGCTCTTGACACAGACCAGTGTCATACGCAGGGAGAGTGGCGTAGGATGGGTCACCTGACCATCTGCTCTTGACACAGACCAGTGTCATACGCCGGGAGAGTGGCGTAGGATGGGTCACCTGACCATCTGCTCTTGACACAGACCAGTGTCATACGCAGGGAGAGTGGTGTCGGATGGGTCACCTGACCATCTGCGCTGGACTGGAACGTCACAAAAGACTGCAAACGTGCCGTTGGAAGCTAACTTTCACAATCATTTATGTGGCCCGTGGAGGCTTCGGCATCGTGGATCAAATGTCATGTTCGTGCAAGACATAAGAATACAAATAGTGTCCGTATCTAGTTGGCCCGAGAAGACGCAACACCATCACACATATTGAGATGCCAAGGCGAACACATTCTTGTCACCAACACATCCAACATGCGTGCTTTCATGTAGACACGCAGATACGTGACGACTGCATTGCTTGCGTTATAAACCCATTTGTCGTCGTCGCTTCACGGCGCATCGGGAATGCAGTCACGCATCCACACGTCCAGAAATGAGACGGTCAGACAATACCGCGCACTCTTCAGGGTCTGCTCTGGTGTCCGGACAAAAACGAATCGGTTTGAAAAAGCCGAGTGAAAGAAGTTAGACAAAAAAGTATAGGAATAAAAGTTATACTGCAAAAAAATCAGTTGAAAAAAACTGGAAAAGTCGAAAAGAAAAAGTTAAATGGCTGAAAGTGAAAACGAAAAAAGTAAAGTACCGAAAGCACACATGAAAAGTCAAAGAACTAAAAGTGGACAGAGAATAAAGTAGGCAGGGATAAGCCAAAATATAAAAGTCAAAAGCCCACAGGAATAAAAGTTACCAGCAAGTCTACGAGGAAGTACTGAATGCTTGCAATGGCATATTTGCCCTCAAAAGCACAGCTTGGAGAACCGAGTCCGAACAATGTAATGAGTATTGCTCTACAACGTCGCTTCACCGTACTGCATGGTACACTGAAGGTCGATAACTCGGCATAGGAACTCTGAGCTCACAATGCCCAACATGGGGTTGCGGTTTCCTATTAAGTTTGGAGGGGCCTGGATCGCCACATTTGAGGGAAAAGTGGGTCGAATGCGGGTGAAGGCCATTTATTGGCGTTTCCAAGGGAGGCTGCTCCACTTTCCCCTGCTCCGCCCCCTAACCCCCCCCCCCCCCATTAATTTTACGAAACTACGCCCCTGGCTAAATAACCATACACCCCTGACCGAATGACCTTCCACGCTGATATGAAGTACCTTGGTGTTGTGCCTCGAACGGGCCCGCAAAGTGTGGTGTTTTTAGGGTTGCATAGCGCACTTGCAGGTTTGCATGCCGACACAGTCCCACAACAGACCCGGTCCGCTGTCCTGCGGCCGCCCTGCGTACCCTGCTTACTTCCCTCTCCCCGACGCAAAACGTCCGGGACACGACAGCCCCGCGTCGCCGCTCAACTGGTGAGAGCCAGGTGATGCAGCTTAGGCAGCGGCTTTCTCGAGGGCCACATTAAAACTCGTCTGATCCCATCCCGCCCGATCCGATAGCTTCACGCTCTGTTCAGTCCCGTCTGATCTCGCCCTGTTCCATTCGGTTCCGTCCGGTTTTGTCCGGTCCTGGACATCTCCCCGGCTTTCAAACACTTATTTCTCAAGGTTGGGGGAAATGGCGGGGAGGGGGATCCAGTCCCCTTCCAACTGCATAGAGTGTCACATCCCTATGTTGGGCATTAAAAGCTCAGA